GGCATTCTTCCAAGAGCAAGTACAAACTTTGAATGTTTAAATGCAAAAAGTGCAGTGGAAGTGCTAGAGGAACAGGTCGGTAAGAGCATCTTAGAGAGGTATAGTTTTTCACAAGTAAAGATGGGTAAAGGGTCACCAATCTGCAAAAACTACATCTAAAATATGTGCAGCAATTTCAGAGTAATGTTCCTCAATGTGAAGTTGTAAAGACATTGACCATCCTAACATCTCAAGTACATAATATTATGAAATTATTCAGAATGTGGAGAAATCTATGTGCAATGAACACAGCTGGAAATATATATATATATATATATATATATATGACTTTTCAAACTTTTTCCCTGCAGATTAGATGCCATCTCTCAGTCCAGCCGTGCAGTGACCTCAGCTTTGGCCTTCATCAGCAGTTGTGCTAACCCAGTCCTCTACACCTTTGCAGGGAAATCCTACATCAAGAAAAATGGTTTTGCCTTCATGGCTAAGCTATTTGAGGGAACATTATCAGATCAAACAGGAACCAAAAGCACCCGACTCACAACTTATGACAATGTCGGAGAGAGTAATGTTGATTGTCAAAATCCTACAGTGGCTTCTACTCCAGAGAACAGGAATCTTGAATGAACTTCATACACTAACAGACTGTATATATAAATGAAAGCACTTAAAATTGTGTAAAGCTTTAAGTGGACTTATAGATTTTAGGCTACACACAACAAGCATTAGCACAGCATTTTTTTTTTATTTAAAATGTGATAACACAATTAAAGTGGAAGTCAGGAGTGTAAGCACAAGCAGTTTACCTTAGTCTACGTGCATCTGAATATCTGTAAAGTCTCAGGTCTGTAAGTACGTTAAAACTACAAAAAAAAAAAAAGCGTAATGTATGTATGACACCTACAAAGATTTTATTCCTTAATGTAAAGACTGATTTTGTAAAATAAAAATTGTGTGAATGAAAACTGATGCTTGCTACTAAAGTACACTTTAAGAAAACTGCATATTCCATATCAAGAAATTTTTAATGCAGTTTACTTTCAATGAAAAAAAAATCTTCTGCAATTGACAGTGTCATGAGCTTCTGTCAGATTTGTTACATAGAAGCTCAAGTCAAAGGACTCGTTTAACCTGCTCTTTATCCAACATTTCTACATAATCAGTTTTTATTTTGTCATTGTTAAAGCCAGAATGACTTTGAACCAAGAAAAGAAAATTGGCTACAGCTGCAGAAAACGTGCCATTCCCAATGCTACAATTTCTTCACCAAAAATGGTCAAAGTCAGAGTTTTGTGCAAAAGTGGATTCTCCAGGCTTGCATTGATGCTGGTGATCAATGTTTGAGCGTTGTTAAACACAAGTACACTAGCATACTATTGTTGCTGCCAAGGCACAAGGCTTAGGTCATCTCAAACTGGTTTCCTCAACTTGAAAACGAGCTCACTGCTCAAATAGCCTCGTCACCAGTCTAATACAACACCTTTGGTTTGTGGAATGAAGGTTGTATCAGCTGCCAAACCCAAAGCAACTGATTCCATCACATCCAAATAGACCAAAATCTGAGTAGTCTTTTCAGCATCTTGTCAAATCTCTGCTATAGTAGCAGGCTGTAGCCAATGACAGAGCCCAGTGAGTGTATACTGAGGTCAACACCTCAGTTTTACTGATGCTTTTCATACCTTTCAGTAACGCCTTTTCGTCATTTTGAGTCATTTTCCCCACTACACTTTAAACATGTTTTGACTGGTCCATTTAGACATGCTCCTACAGTCTAATTTTAATATTCATTTACCCCTTTTGCCCCAACTTCAAATGTACGGCACATTAACCATAATTAAAAAGTCATTTGCACAGTCCAAGCCCAACACATCCTGCAAAAACAAATCAAATTACACATTTGAAATAAAAACCTGCAACAATTTGATTTACAAAAAAGATGCTTTATTGAACACACAGATGTACCTACTACAAATTGTCATCACTGAAATATAGATCAAGAGAGTTGTATTTGTCAGTAAACAAAGATTTAATTGAAATAAATTACATTTAATACTTTAACCCCTTAGCAGTCCTACAAATTTTGCCTAAAATTTGTGAAAAAGGCATATCCAAAATAAATTGCATGCTGCTCTTGAACCATTTGGAGTATATGCATGGTTTTGGTCTCTTTTGAAAGGAGACAATCTGTAGTTTGTTCCTGAGGTGTCAGAATCACTTTATGTCATACTGCTATTGAGTAATAGAACTTTGAACACACTAAAAAAGAGAGAAAAAAAAATCCGCCCAAGTTTTTTTTTGTAAGGAATGCATGCAGATGCCTACCTTGTGAGGTATTAGCTGGAAAACACAACAGGATCAAAGCATGAAGCCTTACCAAGCCACAATTCAAATTTGATAACAATATCTTAGAAAATGAGTGTTCTATGCAAGTTTATTTAGGTCTATGTATAGGCGCTACCCAAAAAAGGCCACTTGGAGACTCCAAATGGCCCTTTGTAAAGGGAAAAAAAATTATTATGGCATTAAAACTCACTATATATACACATTATGTATATGCATCTGTGGGTGTATAAATATATATATAGTTTTTCACACAAATGTATTTTTACAATTATATTTTTTAGAGATCATTGGCATCATGCCAGTCTTTATAACAATCTCGACTTGGCAAAAAGCACAAAGGCACATCACAGGAGGAGCACTTTACTGGTGTCTTTGCCTGGCAGTGTCTGCACCTCAGACGACCTGTGGTGCTGTGTCCACTGATATGCACAGGCTTGTGATGTGCTCTGTTTGGAGAGGGTGATGGTGCGGGCGATGGAGCAAGGCTGCCAGCTGCCACTGCCAGCTCCTCAATAAGTGTCTCCCGAAAAGCCTTTTGGTGCATGGGTACCTCTCCTTTACCCTTTGTGATGCTCTTGTGAAGCAGGAAGGCATTCACAACAGCAATGTCCAGAAAATGATAAAAAAATGTCTTATACCACCTCTGAGTCTTGTGGATGACTTTATAGTAGTTTATCAAGGCATCGGAGTGGTCCACCCCACCCATGCACCTGCATTGACAGAAAAAACAAGAACAAACAGAATTGAATAACAAGAACAAACAAAATTGGATTTCCAAAAAACAAAATAAATAACATAATAGTTATATAGATTGTTGAATATAAAATACATACCGATTATACTCCTTCACTGCTGGTGGAACAGAGATGTCTTTCAGCACCCAGTGTCCATCTGCATCTCTAACTCTCCTTTGAACAGTGTCCCCAGCATGGGCTGTGTGGAGGGTTGAGCACAGGAACACATCCCTTGTGTCTCGCCACTGAACGAAGAGAAGGGAGTCCTTTCGGATCCATCTTATGCTGCCACGGGGAGATTTAGAGTCCAGGCAATTTTTTTTGGTTTTTGGAAATCCAATTCTATTTGTTCGTATTGTTCCACATGCCCAGATCCTCTTCTGAAGGAGGTCACAGAAAAGGGAGGGACTACTATAAAAATTATCTACAAAAAGTTTGTATCCTGTGCCAAGCAACCGTGTATCGATAAGCTCCATCACGGATTCATAACTTAGTCCCTTGCCACTGTTTCCCTGCAGCTTCCCTTCATACACGAAAAAGTCCCATGTATATCCGTTGCTCGAATCTGCCAAAACAAAAAGTTTGTATCCCCAGCGAACAGGCTTATTTTTCATGTATTGCTTTATTCCAATACGTGCTTTGGAGGCAACCATTCGCTCGTCAATGGAAATTTCTTGGCCAGGGTTATAGTGTATTTTACAGACCTCCCTCATCTCCGTGTATAATGGTTTTATTTCGCAGAGACGGTCAAAATCTGCCGTACCTCTTCTCTGCTCATTAGCAGCATTGTCCTCCAAACTGCTTAGGTGAAGGGAGCGGCAGATCCTTTGAAACTTCTTACCACACATTATTTTTTTAGGGAATGGAAGGCTGTACAGTTTACTACCTCGCCAGTAATCAGTGATTGCAGGGAGTTTGACCAGACCCATATAAATCACCATGGCCATAAAAGCATACATGTCCTGTAAAGTCAAGTCAATCCATGGGTTAGAGGGCTTGTGGCATGTTGATCCAAAGTCATTTGTGTTTTTAATTATTGTCAGCAACATGGAGTTTGTGAAATAAAGTTGAAAAAGCTGTAAAAGTGTGTATGAAGCTGTAGGTATGATCTGAGGTCCTGGTGATTTGATGGGCCTGAAGGTGGGCTGTGGTGGTATTATGTCTGGAGCATCTGTATCATTCCATCCCTCTTCAGATGTACTGGCTGGCATCTCAGCTTGACTGCTGCCAGTTCTCCCTCTTCCCCTCCCTCTTGGCCTTCTGCTTCCAGAAACTCTTTGGAAAGTGGAAGGATGTGGCTCCTCTTCTGACGAAATGCTGTCATCGTGTTCCTCTGTACTTATATACACACATATATACACACACATATATACACACACATATATACATACATATATACATACATATATACACACATATATATACATACATATATACACACATATACATACACACACATATACATACACATGTATATACATACACACGTATATACATATACATACACACACGTATATACATATACATACACACACGTATATACACATACATACACACACGTATATACACATACATACACACACGTATATACACATACATACACACATATACACATATACATATATATACATATACATATACATATACATATACATATACATACACATACATATATACATACATACATATATATATATATATATATATATATATATATATACCTATATAATATACACACATATATATATATATATATATATATATATACACACATTATATAAAGACACACGACGTGAGTTAGTAAGAACACAATCAAAACACAAAGATGCACACACACAAACAAACAATATAAACACAGCAGGAGTTAGTAAAAACGCATCAAACACACAGAGGAGCAGGCGCGCACACACACAAAGGCGCACACACACACACAAAGGCACACATACAAACAGTAATATCATTGTATGATATAATAAACACTTACATGTCGAGAGTAGCGTCTCCTCCATCCAAAAAAATATCCTCTGCTACCGAGTCAACAAAGGAAACATCACTGTCTTCTTCGGAAATATCTTCCTCCGACTGATCACTGTCACGCCGAGTGCATTGTTCGAGGACTTCTTCCAGTGAGAAGTAAGTTTTCCTCTTTGCCATTTTGTACTTACAAAGCTCCTTTGGTCGCAAGTTCTCTCAAAATGCTGTATGAACACAGACGCTGTCGTCGCTATGAAAGTTTACGCAAAAGCGCACGAGTGCTGTCGTCGCTATGAAAGTTTACGCAAAAGCGCACGAGTGACAAAAACCTTTTGCGCATGCAAATAAAAGGGGAAAAACAAGTGTCCTCCCCCTTAAGCTGCATATCAATCTTCTTTAAAGATCATTGGCTATCTGATACGCCAATCATTTTGACACTCTGCCACAATTGGAAGAAGTTACTGCCCATCAAAGGGGGGCTGGCCAGACCGCTGACCACCAGCTGTGTTTGGCTATCGCTGCTTGTTCACACCTGTGTGAAGCACCCATTGGTTCAAATGAGGTGTCAATCGAAAGTGCAGAGGTCAGCGGCCATTTTGAAATCAAAATACCCGGAATATTTACATGTCAAGATCTGCTAATGCTTCAGGAAGCACCGAAAATAGGATTATTCGCCGGCTACTTTGAAACAATACTATTACATTCAGTGGATGTTTATCAACATATAAATGTCTCAGAGACTAAATATTGGACTGATTTGGATTGCCTGGACTCTTGGCAGTCTAACTACACCGTTTTTGTTGGAATATTATGAACCAGTGGACTAACAGGGCTTTATATGTGAGTACAGACCTTATTGTTATTGTTTTTTTTCGATGTTGGCAGCCTGACATAAACACTAATTGTACCTGCTATGTTGATTCTATCTTGAAATGCTTTACATCGTTCGAATCACGAGAATCTCAGCTTTCCAAATATATATAACATGTTTAGCTTCTTTTTTGATAAGTTTTTGTACGTAACCAATTAGTCCCCTAAACCATCCAATGTACCGTGGGCGGTACGTCCGACTGCTAACAGGTTAAAATCACAACATTTCCACCTGAGGAAACCCAGCAGCCAGAGCTCATGAAGGATCCATCACCTGTCAAACAAAGAAAATAATATTAATAGAGCCTCAAAGGCATTAATTCAGCATTACAATCACTTTAGAGTGTTTTAAAAAAAAAAAAAAAGGGTGCATTTTAACTATGTTGTACTAAACTCTGGTTACACATTTTTAGTACACCACGATCTAAAAACATACTGCACAGACTAAGTAACACTTTAATGTTAACCTAAGTTAATTTAAAGTCATCAACTTAATGGCTTTGCTAACTTCATGCATCACTGACTAGCCAATCAGTGACACGCAGTCTGACGTCACATCTATGGACACATTTTCATATTTCTGCCTCGATTGCTTGGTGCCCCGGTTGAGTTAGTACTAAAAATAAAAAGTACCAGGTACTATCACCTAACAGAAAACCCTAAAAAGTGTCCTGACCCAAATAGGGACTAATGAAAACAGGCTATTAGATAATACGGTTCCTTTGTGATGCAAGCTTATTGGCCATTAAATACAGATTATGGGCTGGATTTTGATATCCAGAGTGGATTGCATTAACCATTTAATTTCAAAAGGTCAAAGAAATTATCCAGCAGAATTTGACCCTAGTTAAATTTTGACTATAGACCACCTGACTTCAGCATCTTAAATTTCTTAATTTTATCTCCTTTTCTGTCTTTATTTATTTGTACCATTTGTATTTTATCTGCTCTATTTCTATTGTATATCTTAACCAGCATCTGAGGGTGGACGGCAAAGAAACAATTTCATTTGCACAGAGAAATGCCTTTTTTCTTTGGACACATGACATTAAACACCTTGAATCTTGAATCTAAAGCTTGGAATCTCCACACTTTTAAACCAACAGATATTGTGATACAATTTCAGCAAACAAACTGAAGAAACCTTACCTTGGACACACCCAGGTTCTGAAATCCTGAAAGAGAAAAGGAACATAAGATTAGCTTAACTGTGCATTTACACACCAGAGTGCCTGACCTGCGCCCTTACTGTCAAACCCATCAGTGCAGTGAAAGATAATCATGAGGTTTCAGGTGAAACACGGACTCACATGCAACTCATCATCAAGGTTTGACTAAAAGCTGGCAAGTCTGCATCTGCAGCAGGTATAGGATGAGAACTGAAATGGCACAACTCAATTAATGGGCCTAGTGTGATAAAGCTAAGAGTAAAATAATTTCTTATTTTTTTAATATAATGCACTGTTTAGTTGATGCATTTTAAAATGTGTGAACTGAACATTCAGCTTGTGATTTTGGTAAATATTACAGCAATGTTTAGAACTTACAGAACCTATTTAGCTCATTTAGGAATTTACACTCTCAGATAGGACAAGACAGGAAACCCTTTGTTTTACAAGCATAAACAAAGGGAACACGCCGACTCCTCAAGTTCTTAATAAAACGGATTATACCCTTTGTAAACAAGGCCTTAGTGCTTGACCTTTATATTAGTTTTAACTTTGTTACTTATGAAGGTCATAGTGGACGTTAGTTGACCCAACATAGTAGCACGGAGGTCTTATGCACGGGTATTGTCTTGTTTGACGCAACTAAAATTAACTTCCAATTTTAATCAGTTTAGTTCAGTTCTCGGTGAAGCAAGCCAGCTTCATTTAGATCGTTTTGTATGTGATGTTTGAAGTACACACCAACCCTGACCCACAGGTCTTCCTCCTATGAGAGTCATTAACCTCAAACACATCAACCTAAACTGTTATAACATTACAGAACACAGCCCCAGCACCTTAAAGTTAACTGGACTCCCAATCAAAGCCTAAATTGCATCAGTCCCTCGTATCCATCGTTTAATATTCAGCTGCATTTTCCTCATCAGCAGAAACCACGAGGTGCATTTGGCGCTACTGAAGCTACGAGCTAACAATGTGCGGAAATAAACGCGCAAACGCATAAATATAAACACGACACCTGCGACAATAACGAAGTGAATCATCGCTAAATGTGAACATTTAGAGTAAAACAAGGTGTCACCTCGTCAGTTCTCGTCTCTCCAGCACCTCACGTCCGACCTGCATCACCGCAACAAGGAAGAGAGGTCGTTAATGAGCCCGAGCCGCAATTTATCTCTTTATCAAACCACGTGTCTCCTGCTCTCTGCCGTCAAGCAAGCAGCTTCCGGGTTTGCCTGTGCCGCATAAAAATAAAAACATCGTTTAACAGTATACTTTCAAGACATCTTCTCTTTAATACGCATCCTGCATATTATTACTGAAACACATTACTACCGAAATGTAAACATAATGACATAAAATAGCAGCATAGAGGCACAGCCTGAATATACAAGTAAGGAAAATAAATACAGTGGCATACAGTACATTTTCCACATGACTTTATCAATCTCTCACGTCATTTTGGAGGAATCCTTACGGTGTTGCTTCAGCTAACTGACGTTAGCAGGCAAACTTTTATGCACAGCTCTCTGAAGGTCCTGCTACAATATTTTAATAAGGTTGCAGCCTGGACTTTGACTGAGCCAATGCAACATCTTTTTTTTAGCCATTCTGTTGCAGATTTGCTGCCAAGCTGTAGCTATGGGACCGATTACTTCTTATTTGACCCTAAAATACTTTTGATTAGCACAGTGAATGCAAGGTGCACAGGTCCTGTGGCCGCAAAACAGTCCTCAAATTGTTACCCCCCTCTACCACCAACAGCTGGTATGAGATGTTTGTGTTGATATGCTGTGTTTGGTTTTTTGGCAAACATGGCGGTGTGCATTATGACCGTGTGTGTGTGTGTGTGTGTGTGTGTGTGTGTGTGGCTAACATAAATAACAACATTAAATTATTAGTGCTGTTACTGTTGTTAAGATTTTTGTTTAGCTTTTGTTGATGTTGGACTGTGGCCCATGGCGCTATTGTAATATTTACGTTTTGTATTACCCTTTAATTAGCAGAAAATGATACCATAAATGGCATTTTTATTTCACTCATATTCCTGTTTCTGTTTGTTTTAACTATGATCTGCTACATTAATAACTTATTGCCTAATATTACCTAATTTCTTACCTAATCAAGGGTAAACATTTCTCATTCGGATGCTGTAGTTACGTCAGAGGCGGTGTGAGTTAAACTTTTAGTACTTAAAGCTAAAAAAGTTTGGGGTTATATCTCATATTATTCCTTTAAATTTGAAAAGGAACGACATCGCATCATTAAAACCAGCAGGTGTCAGCTGTTACTAAAGAATTCCGATTTCGGCCAAGCCAACTGTGAACTACAAAATGACGTGTTTGCGTGGCTGAAGTACGGAACGCCGATTGGTCCAAACTCGCTGAAATTACAGTTTGATAACAGAGCAGCTGGAGAAGGAGAGGAGGGAGGTGGAGATGGGGGAGATGCCTCTAGGACTGAGAAGAACACAACTTGTACTTAATTATTGGGCAAATCTTCAAGGCCATGGACAGGATCACCCACCACAAGCAGTTCTTAACCCTTGCTGGGAGAAAGAAAGGCGGAAATCAAAGAGCTTTGGGTGGATTGTGGGTGGAAGAGCAAGTGAATTTAAACTGGATCAGTTGGACGAGTTTTGTTACCAGCAATATCTCCCTGGATACTTCCTGAAGCCAAAGTTGATTTCACTCTACTGGATAAGAAGACTAAGGATGGGGCATTTATTTTAAACTCTTATACGCAGGCTTACATTGACCAGTTTTATGGTTGTGTTCAATTATATACGGATGCATCTAAGGATTCAGCCAGTCAAAGTGGTGTAGCAGTTGTGGTCCCAGAGTTCATGGTTAAAATAGAAAAAAGGATCACTGATACACTGTCAGTATTCACTGGAGAACTGCTTGCAATTCTGTTGGCGGTTCAGTGGGTGGAAGATATGAGGCCATTAAAAGCTATTGTTTGTTCAGACTCAAGAGCATCATTGCTTAGTTTACAAGGTAGTCACTCAAATGCGAGAGCAGATATTCTAGCAGAAATTCAGCAAACACTGTTCAGGATAAACATGATGGGTCTTACAGTTGTGTTTCTATGGATTCCAGCCCATTATGGAATAATGGGGAATGAAATGGCAGACAGAGCGGCGAAGCAAGCCACAAAACATGGGACAGTTGACCTGGCTGTTAGTTTTGGTCAAGCTGAAGTGAAGAGTATCATACGGCAAGAAATGAGGGGTAGATGGCAAAAGCAGTGGGAGGAGGAAAGGAGAGGACGGTGGTTGTGTACAATACAAAGGGGGGTAGGAGAAATGAAGACCACTGGAAGGAGCAGGAGAGAGGAGATGGTCATATCGAGATTGAGATTTGGACATACTGGGTTAAATGCTACATTATTCTTGATTGGGAAACATAATCAGAATCAGAATCAGAATACTTTATTAATCCCGAAGGAAATTAGGGAAATGTGCCTTCTGTGGAGACACAGAAACTATAGAGTTTGTGATATTGCACTGTCTGAAATATCAGGTGGAGAGGAGACAATTATCCTAAAACCTTATTAATATGAAAATGAAATTGGATCTGGTTGACCTATTGCAAAAAGGATTCTGGAAGTAAGAGTTACCAGGCGTCATTCCAGTCCACATTCCATACTAGTGGTGGCGGTAATGCACCAATCAGTTGTTTGCCAACCGCCAATAATACGTAAAAGAAGAAGAAGAAGAAAAGGGACTGTACGGTGGGGTTCAGAGATATAACTCAAGGTTAAAGGGCAAGCTTCCGGCCATGAGAATTTTAATAGGTATGTACAGTTTTTAAAAAGTAACACGTTTTTTTAAAGTTGCTCGGAAAGGTCAGAGTGACATTACGCTTTCAGATAGCTTACAGCTAATGTTTACGTTGAGGCAAATAATGAAGTGCCTTATATCCATTAGTGAGTTTGTACTTGTGCATTATGTTGGGCTGTAGCACTATTGCGAACAGAGCCTGGGAGCTTTGAGAAAGCGTGCTAAATCTGTGTGCTTATGGTGTGTTTCATAGTTGAGTTTGTTGAGCTCAGGTAATGCACAAAGCAATGTTTTGTAAGCATGTACAATACGCATGCGCACCACGCATGCCTGACTCACCTAATTTTGAAGCGTTTCTATGTATTTATTTAGTTGCTTGGTTAGTTAGTTATTTTTCACCCTTTATTTACATCTGTAAAAATCGGCTAAATAATAGAAATAGTTCTCTTTAAGTTAAACTGCAAAAACGAGAATAAAGTTGACCCAAAGCCACCTTAACGTCATGAGCAAAAAGGGTTTTTTGAAAGTTGCGACTTTCCTTTGTTACAGCAGTTAAAACTGAGTGTAATCTTAAATTGAACGTAAAACGTTAAAAAAAAAATTAAAGCACGATATGATAAAATAAATCAGATTTTAAAGAGTAATTAAGAAAAAGAAAAAAAATTACATGAGTGTAATTGTAAAAGAAGAAGCACTCAGAGAATGCAAACCTCCAACAAAGCAGCTCACTATCTGGAATATTAATTTTCTTTTAAGAAAATAGTATTGTATTTTATATATATTCATGCAATTTTCTTCTTTTAAAATGTACTTTAAGGAGTTTGTAGTGCAGGAAAGTAAAAAAATTTTGGGGTGAATTAGAAAGAAAGGTAGATGTGAAATGTAAAAATGAGGTCATAGGTAAAATGTGATATGATATTTGGATACAAATTATGTTTGACATTTACAATCCCCAGTTACCTGTATCATTTCCTAAATGTTCCCAATACAAACAAAGACAGTAGCATTTTAAGCTGTTTTAAAGATGCATTTTATCAAAGTTTGACCTTATTTAACCTTGAAGAAATCGTCAGCGCTAACTTGATATTTAAAATGCTCATATATTATTCCTTATGTAGCTGCATGTTGTCAATACAAACAGCAGTTAGAAACCTAGTTTCAAAAAATCCCATATAGCATTGCATTAGTGTCACCTGAAGTAGACGACAGAGGTCAGCTGTGACATGGAATTTTAAATCTTTATACAGTACTTTCTTTACACACTTGTACGAATCACAGTTTCTAAGTTGGAGGAAGTGTGCTGCTTTTGTTTTTCAGTTTGTTCCTTTTGATGTTTTCTCTGTCTGTTGTGTTTCTTGTAGGAGGGGGATCTGGCTTCGTTGGCCGTGAGCTTACCCGCCTACTTAGGGACAAAGGTCATGAGGTGACACTGATATCACGCCAGCCTGGTCCAGGGAAGATAACATGGGTATGACCTAAAGTTAATACAAAGTAAAAGGGCAAACCTAAAGCTCATTTTAGGACCTGTTGATTCATCACTGTTAACGAAACATCATACTGGAGCTGATGCCTGATGGTTTGAAGGACTGAGATTAGAGAGGGAGAAGAAATTTATTAATCCCTCGTGTTGGTTCCTCCGGGAAATTCAGTATGTACAAACTGTACAGACAGAGACGTACAAACTGATAAATGTGGAAGGGGGATAGTTTACAGATCCAGTGACATTTCTAAACATCTTTATGTTTCTTCCTCTCTGCTCCTGCAGGGTGAGCTGGAGTCTCAGGGTCTCCCACCGTGTGAGGGTGCCGTCAACTTGGCTGGAGAGAATCTCATAAACCCACTGCGATGGTGAGAAATAAATAATCAAAGAGTCCATCCTAATATCTGCAGCATTTTAATGCATTTACAGGGATTGTCACCGTTTCTTTCCTTGGGTTCTGTTTTGAAGGTGGAATGAAAGCTACAAAAAAGACTTGTTCTCCAGTCGCGTTGACACAACTAAAGCTCTTTCTCAAGCCATCGCTGCTTCCTCCAGTCCTCCTCACTCTTGGGTGCTGGTGTCAGGTGTAGGTAAGCATTTAATAAGTGAGATTCTACTCAGCACAGCAGATCAGATGAACTCATTGATAATATAGATAGTAATTCTATTATTGCTTATTGTTCGTTTGTTTGTTTTCATGACACAGCTTGCTATAAACCCAGTCTAACAGCTCAATACACAGAAGACAGTGAATGGACTCCGTTTGACCTTCTCTCAAGACTTGTCAAAGAGTGGGAAGCAGCAGCACTACTTCCTGAAAATGTGGCAAAAACCACCAAACAAGTCATCATCCGGCCTGGTTTGTATACGGCACATGCTTATGTTTATTGTCCATTCTGAATCTGTCTAAATCAGGGGTGGGCAACTCCAGGCCTCGAGGGCTGGTGTCCCTGCAGGTTTTAGATGTGTCCTGGAACCAACACAGCTGATTTAAATGGCTAAATTAGCTCCTCAACATGTCCTGAAGTTCTCCAGAGGCCTGGTAACAAACTAAGCATGTGATTCAGGTGTGTTGACCCAAGGTAAGATCTAAAACCTGGCCTGGAATTGCCTACCCCTGGTCTAAATGGATCAGATGAAGGGCCACATGCATCTCTCTGGTCCTATTTAAGGTCTTTGCTGGATTTTTTTCCTATTTCTTAAGAACATGGCTTTCAGATCCTGTTCGTCTGCTGTAGATGGTTTCTTTAGGCCTGCCACTTCTCCTTTTGTCCTCACGTCTAGTTTCTTCATAATTTGTAAGTGTAACCTGTAGTTCACACTGCAGGTGTTAATGCTCAATTGCAATTTTTTGATCAAATCCGATTTTTTTTTTTCTTCTGGTTGTTCACACTACAAATAAAATGTGACAGCAAATGCGCTCTAGTGTGAACAGTTCATGGCCCTCAAAGTGGTCCACATGCACAAAAGAAGATGTCACACACAACGCGCTCTGTTTGCGGAAGTAAAAATGGCGGCTACAGAGCTAGTAGGTGTTGTTGCAGCAGTCTATCAATTTCTGCACAGTCGTAACCGACAGAATTTTGACAAATTAAATAGAGAAAGAAGGAAACAGAGAAAAAAGAGAGCCCGTGCTTTAACAACGGCCACCATGCTTTCTCGTTTGTCTTCTCTAGCGCTGATAATTGGCGTCCATCTTGTGTCAGTGATGTAAAAGACGGATTAAATGCAAAATGACCATTCAAACAGCAGCCGCTTTCTAAAACATCAGATATGTAATGGATTCAGTACCACATACGAAAGTGACCTAGGTCGGATTTGAAAATATTGGGTTTGTGCCGTTCAAGCTGTCATACCATGATCGGATATGAGTCGGATAGGATCAAAAAAAGTCAGATTTGATGCGCGTTCGCCTGCAGTGTGAACATAGCCCAAGTGTTCTGCTCATAGTTATTTTGGAATCACCAAAAATATAATTTTTATGCATGTCAAAATATGTTATCCATGGCATTTTTCAGAGATTGACTAAATCGACTTAAAGAAATGTGGAAAAAATTTTGTTTTTATGACTGGCTTCTAATAACAAAGTGCCTAAGGATACATTTTTAAAAACAGTGGTTCATTTCTTGAATTGGGTGCCTTTTTCATGCTTGAATGATTCACAGGTCAGTGTTAACTGGTTTAACAAACTAAAGAAAGTAATTGGGGCAAAAACCTTTCCTTTGAAGACGATCGGGTACAAGAACTAGAATAAAAAGAGTGAAAAGGCTACCACCATCCAAAGAAAAACTTTAAAAGACCATCAGTCTGTTAAACTTTTGCATTTTGTACATGCATACACAACATGTGAAGATTTAAAGTATCTTATCTCTGTATTACTTTTTATCTTTTTCAGTTTTTATAGCATGAATTAAAATTTTATCTCGTGGGCCATTTCACGGCAGATAATCTGACTAGATTGACTGAATGAACAACATAAGCTTGAACTAATGGTTTCTCAGTTATAAAGAGTGTCCCAGTAAATCATCATTAAACAAGTTAAAATGGCTGCAGTGAAAAACATGTGCTTTCTTATTTTCCATGCATTCCCCAGGGGCAGTGCTGGGTCGTGATGGTGGGGCCATGAAGCAGATGCTGCTGCCGTTCTGGCTCGGCCTCGGGGGTACCCTGGGATCTGGAAGACAACCATTTCCCTGGATCCACGTTTCAGACCTGGCAGGAATCATTGTCCGCGCACTGGAGCCCCCTGCTGACACTCCACCCTCCTCATCACCACAAGTGTTCAACGGAGTCGCTCCGGCTCTCAACACCAACTATGAATTCACTAAAGAATTGGGTCGGGTCTTGAGGCGGCCCACCATCCTTCCTGTACCTGGCTTTGTCATGAACGCCCTGCTGGGTTCGGAGAGGGCCGTGATCCTTACTCAAGGTCAGAAAGTCATACCTAAGAGGACTTTGGAGTCTGGATTTCAATACAACTACCCTGACTTGACCTCAGCTTTGAAGGAGATTGTTAATTAACAAGAGAGTACGGCGGTTCATTTTTACTGTAATACAAGAATAAACAAATATGAGCCTAAACGAGTCATTGAAAATGAATCCCAGGATCATGACTCAGTAAAAGACTGTTGTAAATTACTTATTCATCAGATCTGTGTACTGATGAACTGTTGTTTCTCATATTGCTAAAGAGCAGTTATGGGATCATGTTTGAAAAGCTGTTTTAAATAAAATGTCATGCTTTGCTTTAAAGCGTTTCTCCGCATTCGGGACAATAACAAGCGGCTTTAAGCCTTTGCTTACATTTAGAAAGCACTGGGACATGATTGTTGATACTGAAGTGTTTCTGTAAAATAAATCTGACAGAGTTGAGTCTTGATAACAGATGTGTCTAAACTTTCTCCTTTAGCAGCTTTTGCTCCTTTCGTTCAAACTCATGAACAGAGCTACAGAAGATAATCTTGGATGGTTGTACATCTAGCCGTTAATGCTGCAACTAGTGAACGTGTTTATTGTTATTAACTCCTAATTAATGCAAAAAAAAAGAAAAATTGTCAGTGACACAGTGGTTAGTAATATAAATAACCACATTACAGATGGTGAAGCACCGAAACAATTATTGGATCTACAGGTCATAGCCTGGAGTCTTTTTTATTTTTATTTTTTTTTAAATAGTCGTTTACATAAGTCTAGGTTAATCAAGTTTACTGGATCTTTTTTGTGGCCTGCAGTAAATTAAAAATGTTGCTGAAATCTCACTTTGAGTCTCACAGTGTCACTGAATTAACCTGCAACACGGAAACGTGCAAAAAGAAATTTTACCCATTTTATTTTAAGGCTGTGAAATGTTATGTTACCAAAAAAATACATAAAGCTCATGTTATGCATTGTTCTGCTGAATAAACAACTTTAAGGTTTGTTTGGACCGCATTGAAAATGAAATGCTTCAAGGTAAATTCAATTTCAAAATACTTTTTAAAAGACATTTCTGTCCAAAGAGCATCACACTTAAAAATATAATGGTTTATTGGAGGTGGTACACAAAGAAAACTGCAGAGAGGAAATGTATATGTAATTTGCAGCTCCTTTGTCTATAAATCAAAGTATTATCAGTTTCACGATGTATCGTATGTTTCCACAGTCTGTCTTTACGGCTGAATCGTCACTCTGAATCACTGTTGACATCTTCCTCTACACCCCGAATGATCGGCATTTGATCTCCCCAGTCACTGCTCCGAGCGCAGCGGTACATATCTCTGATTAAAATGACATTGAAATAGAACAATTAAACAGAAAAAATCCAAAACAAAACAGTCAAATAAGTCCATCAGTGACAATAAAACAAACAACAAAAAGCAATAAGAATATCCAGCAACTGCCTGTAGCACAGAGTATCGATTATTATGACATACAGAAGGTTTACAATGAATTTCTGCTCCATTTGGTCTAGTTCTGACACATTTTCGGATCACATAATTCAGAATTATAGCAAAATTTGATCAGCAATTCCCCAGTTTGAAGTCCAAGCAAGCCAGATCTTTTGCTGCATTTCCTTCCCTCATTCTCTCTTTCTGTATTTCCCGCATCTTTCCTGCGTGCCTACCTGTGTCTAGGAAATCTTTAAACACCCGAGGAGTTTTGTTAATTTTAGAAAACGTTGTTGATGAACTGCGTGGCCCCACACTGAATCAAATTCAAACAGTACGCAGCCCTAACAAGCATTTTAATGACGTATTTCTTCTTAGTTTATTTTAATGCACCTGGTCCCTAACATCATATCCTAAAAACCCTATGGTATCCGATCTGACCTAGAGTCTTAATATCTCTGGATTCAGGACTGATATCCTCTCGATTATAAAATTAGACTTCAAACGTTTCTTTTTGATGAAACCTGAGCCGAGTCTGGTGACCCTGAAGAATCCTTTTGTCAGACTGCTGGGGGACTTCCCATGATGCACTGAGCAGTTCTTCTTCACTCTCTTCTTTTCCCTCCCAATGCACTCACCTGTCACTACTGAATGTCAGTACTTTTTGTCTTCTCTCTCCTACAGAGTGCATTTTGTCTTCATCTCTCTATGCCAGAGATGGGCAACTCCAGGCCTCAAGGGCCAGTGTGCTGCAGGTTTTAGATGTATCCTTGAGCCCACACAGCTGATTTAAATGGCTAAATGACTCCTCAACATGTCTTGAAGTTCTCCAGAGGGCTGGTAATGAACTAATCATTTTATTTCAGGTGTGTTGACCCAGGGTGAAATCTAAAACCTGCAGGACACCGGCCCTTGAGGCCTGGAGTTGCCCACCCCTGCTCTATGCTAGCATTTAAGGAAAAGGACTAAACCTATTCTGCAGCTGATGAATTTGTGTGACACTTATTTTTCTTTTTACCTGCTGTGTTTACGGGCTGTCACCACCATGTGCTGTAGCTGTCCGTCCGGGCAACACATGCGACAGTGGACATGCCTCGTTCTGCGCAGCACTGGTGCAATCAGCCTGGCCCACTCCACACCCTTTGTGCCTTCCTCCACTGCTTCTGTCCGCCTCAAAATTAGGTAGCTGAACTTCTCGATCTGACGGTCATTGTGCTGGAAAAGAAAAAAAAAGGGTTGATATGGAATTCATTCAGCATTTATCTGAAAAAACACAAAACAAAACATGTTTGCATATATAGCACCTTCTGTCAGCAACAAATATAAGACAAGTGTAAATTAATAATACTTAAAAGGCAACAAGAAGAAAAAGTTATGAAGTTAAAAATAACGAATTCAATCCAAGATAAAATCTTGGCGCAAGACTTTGTGTCTTTTATGTTTTACATGCTATTAAATAAATATGAGTTTCCTGATAATGTACAATAATACGAAACTTCAGCTGTGTTCACAGAAGGGAATGAAGTGCAGCTGATTTTAATAGCAGAGCCTGGTACAGAAGACTATATGTTGTTTTTGCAGATTACACTAAAATGTTTTAGTCTTATTTGGTCTGTTGCTTGGTTTGCAGGACCAGCATTCTAAGAAGAAAAGCCTCAGAACTTCCTCTCCTCCCGTCACCCTTCCAGCTCATCCGATGTGTTCCCAAAGCAGCTGAGGCATAATCTCGTGGGTCTGTCCCAGAGATTCTCTAAGTAGAATATGCTCAAAATGCCTCACCAAGGAGGTGTCCAGGTCATATCCTAGTCAGATCCTCAAAAACCCTCAGCTGGCTCCTTTCGAGTTGCGGATGTACTCTGAAGCCCTCAGAAAGGACTCCCAAATGACAACAGTGAGCCACCCTGCGGAGGTAGTTGATTTCTACTGCTTCTATCTGTGATCTTTTTGTCACTAGAGCTTGTGACCATAACTGTATACCCACCACTGCTTGCCATCTTTCTCTGAGGGCAACTCTAGACTGAGAGTCCAGCCCCTCTCCAGGAGACCTGTTGCAGAGCACCAGCTGTGCGTTGAGGTGAGCCTGACTATATTAGCTGGTACTACTCAAGCACTCATTCACCAGTGTTGTCTTGGTACTACTCAAGCACTCATTCACCAGTGTTGTCTTAGGACAATAAGGATAATTTAAAATTCATGCAATGCTGCTCCGGTGGAGTCCAAGAATAAAAAGAAAGAGACCTGGTAATTAACAGATTAGATCCCACTTAAAGTGAAAAGCTGTAAACAGACATAGACAGTTGAGTCTTACCCTGGGTAGAGACAGAGGTTGGTAATGCTGCTGGAAGTTGCAGGGTGTGACGGGCTCATGGGCCAGTTTGGGACACACCAGTTCATGTGGACACTAAAATAAATAAATAAATAAATAAATGAATAGACGCGCAATAAGACTGAGAAACTAATGGCTCTAAGTATGACTTTAATTAAATCTACTGGGTGTTAAACTTACTGGAGCAAACACTGATGCTGGCCTGGAGTCATAAACGGTCTTCTCTTGTTTCTGGAGTCAGAAAACCAACAATTTAGTTTGATCAATAACAACTATTGTGAACTGCTGTCTTATCCAGTGTGTTTAAATACCTTCAATAAAGTATCTCTGGCTTCCATGAGTATCTGATGGCCCTCTTTGGTCCCATTTTCCACCAGCACCTAGAACATAAAATGCAACGATTAATAGTTTTTTTTTCCTGTTTCCTTTTAAACACCAGAGGCTCACCAATCATTTTCTTAAGTTGTATCTTTCTTTGATCTCACCAGATATGAGCTTGTCTTTCTCCAAAGAGTGAATGCTGCCTCCTCTCGGTCTTTCACATTTGGCAGCTCTGAGAGGGTAAAAGCTGCAGTGACTAAATCAAACTGCACCTGAAAGGAGAAAAAGGATGGTCAGGATTTCCAGTTGTTGAGATTATCTGGAACATTAATGACAGCAAATCAAAAATATTGGGATTTTCTTTATTTTTTGATTTTGTCTGTTTGTGTTCTTTTCTAGAACAACAACTAAAAATATTTTGAATTTTTCACCCTTTATTTTACATCTGTAAAAAATCGGCTAAATAATAGAAATAGTTCTCTTTAAGTTAAACTGCAAAAACGAGAATAAAGTTGACCCAAAGCCACCTTAACGTCATGAGCAAAAAGGGTTTTTTGAAAGTTGCGACTTTCCTTTGTTACAGCAGTTAAAACTGAGTGTAATCTTAAATTGAACGTAAAACGTTAAAAAAAAAATTAAAGCACGATATGATAAAATAAATCAGATTTTAAAGAGTAATTAAGAAAAAGAAAAAAAATTACATGAGTGTAATTGTAAAAGAAGAAGCACTCAGAGAATGCAAACCTCCAACAAAGCAGCTCACTATCTGGAATATTAATTTTCTTTTAAGAAAATAGTATTGTATTTTATATATATTCATGCAATTTTCTTCTTTTAAAATGTACTTTAAGGAGTTTGTAGTGCAGGAAAGTAAAAAATTTTGGGGTGAATTAGAAAGAAAGGTAGATGTGAAATGTAAAAATGAGGTCATAGGTAAAATGTGATATGATATTTGGATACAAATTATGTTTGACATTTACAATCCCCAGTTACCTGTATCATTTCCTAAATGTTCCCAATACAAACAAAGACAGTAGCATTTTAAGCTGTTTTAAAGATGCATTTTATCAAAGTTTGACCTTATTTAACCTTGAAGAAATCGTCAGCGCTAACTTGATATTTAAAATGCTCATATATTATTCCTTATGTAGCTGCATGTTGTCAATACAAACAGCAGTTAGAAACCTAGTTTCAAAAAATCCCATATAGCATTGCATTAGTGTCACCTGAAGTAGACGACAGAGGTCAGCTGTGACATGGAATTTTAAATCTTTATACAGTACTTTCTTTACACACTTGTACGAATCACAGTTTCTAAGTTGGAGGAAGTGTGCTGCTTTTGTTTTTAGTTTGTTCCTTTTGATGTTTTCTCTGTCTGTTGTGTTTCTTGTAGGAGGGGGATCTGGCTTCGTTGGCCGTGAGCTTACCCGCCTACTTAGGGACAAAGGTCATGAGGTGACACTGATATCACGCCAGCCTGGTCCAGGGAAGATAACATGGGTATGACCTAAAGTTAATACAAAGTAAAAGGGCAAACCTAAAGCTCATTTTAGGACCTGTTGATTCATCACTGTTAACGAAACATCATACTGGAGCTGATGCCTGATGGTTTGAAGGACTGAGATTAGAGAGGGAGAAGAAATTTATTAATCCCTCGTGTTGGTTCCTCCGGGAAATTCAGTATGTACAAACTGTACAGACAGAGACGTACAAACTGATAAATGTGGAAGGGGGATAGTTTACAGATCCAGTGACATTTCTAAACATCTTTATGTTTCTTCCTCTCTGCTCCTGCAGGGTGAGCTGGAGTCTCAGGGTCTCCCACCGTGTGAGGGTGCCGTCAACTTGGCTGGAGAGAATCTCATAAACCCACTGCGATGGTGAGAAATAAATAATCAAAGAGTCCATCCTAATATCTGCAGCATTTTAATGCATTTACAGGGATTGTCACCGTTTCTTTCCTTGGGTTCTGTTTTGAAGGTGGAATGAAAGCTACAAAAAAGACTTGTTCTCCAGTCGCGTTGACACAACTAAAGCTCTTTCTCAAGCCATCGCTGCTTCCTCCAGTCCTCCTCACTCTTGGGTGCTGGTGTCAGGTGTAGGTAAGCATTTAATAAGTGAGATTACTGCACAGAGATCAATACCATGATATAATCAGCACAGCAGATCAGATGAACTCATTGATAATATAGATAGTAATTCTATTATTGCTTATTGTTCGTTTGTTTGTTTTCATGACACAGCTTGCTATAAACCCAGTCTAACAGCTCAATACACAGAAGACAGTGAATGGACTCCGTTTGACCTTCTCTCAAGACTTGTCAAAGAGTGGGAAGCAGCAGCACTACTTCCTGAAAATGTGGCAAAAACCACCAAACAAGTCATCATCCGGCCTGGTTTGTATACGGCACATGCTTATGTTTATTGTCCATTCTGAATCTGTCTAAATCAGGGGTGGGCAACTCCAGGCCTCGAGGGCTGGTGTCCCTGCAGGTTTTAGATGTGTCCTGGAACCAACACAGCTGATTTAAATGGCTAAATTAGCTCCTCAACATGTCCTGAAGTTCTCCAGAGGCCTGGTAACAAACTAATCATGTGATTCAGGTGTGTTGACCCAAGGTAAGATCTAAAACCTGGCCTGGAATTGCTTACCCCTGGTCTAAATGGATCAGATGAAGGGCCACATGCATCTCTCTGGTCCTATTTAAGGTCTTTGCTGGATTTTTTTCCTATTTCTTAAGAACATGGCTTTCAGATCCTGTTCGTCTGCTGTAGATGGTTTCTTTAGGCCTGCCACTTCTCCTTTTGTCCTCACGTCTAGTTTCTTCATAATTTGTAAGTGTAACCTGTAGTTCACACTGCAGGTGTTAATGCTCAATTGCAATTTTTTGATCAAATCCGATTTTTTTTTTCTTCTGGTTGTTCACACTACAAATAAAATGTGACAGCAAATGCGCTCTAGTGTGAACGGTTCATGGCCCTCAAAGTGGTCCACATGCACAAAAGAAGATGTCACACACAACGCGCTCTGTTTGCGGAAGTAAAAATGGCGGCTACAGAGCTAGTAGGTGTTGTTGCAGCAGTCTATCAATTTCTGCACAGTCGTAACCGACAGAATTTTGACAAATTAAATAGAGAAAGAAGGAAACTGAGAAAAAAGCGAGCCCGTGCTTTAACAACGGCCACCATGCTTTCTCGTTTGTCTTCCAGTTCCATTGAGAGTCACGAGTCCTCGGTAATAATTGGCGTCCAGTCTTGTGTCAGTGACGTAAAAGACGGATTTAATGCAATGACCATTCAAACAGCAGTCGCTTTCTAAAACATCAGATATGTATCGGATTCAGTACCACATACGAAAGTGACCCAGGTCGGATTTGAAAATATCGGATTTGTGCCGTTCACACTGTCATACCATGATCGGATATGAGTCGCATAGGGTCAAAAAAAGTCGGATTTGATGCGCGTTCGCCTGCAGTGTGAACATAGCCTAAGTGTTCTGCTCATAGTTATTTTGGAATCACCAAAAATATAATTTTTATGCCTGTCAAAATATGTTATCCTTGGCATTTTTCAGAGATTGACTAAATCGACTTAAAGAAATGTGGAAAAAATTTTGTTTTTATGACTGGCTTCTAATAACAAAGTGCCTAAGGATACATTTTTAAAAACAGTGGTTCATTTCTTGAATTGGGTGCCTTTTTCATGCTTGAATGATTCACAGGTCAGTGTTAACTGGTTTAACAAACTAAAGAAAGTAATTGGGGCAAAAACCTTTCCTTTGAAGACGATCGGGTACAAGAACTAGAATAAAAAGAGTGAAAAGGCTACCACCATCCAAAGAAAAACTTTAAAAGACCATCAGTCTGTTAAACTTTTGCATTTTGTACATGCATACACAACATGTGAAGATTTAAAGTATCTTATCTCTGTATTACTTTTTATCTTTTTCAGTTTTTATAGCATGAATTAAAATTTTATCTCGTGGGCCATTTCACGGCAGATAATCTGACTAGATTGACTGAATGAACAACATAAGCTTGAACTAATGGTTTCTCAGTTATAAAGAGTGTCCCAGTAAATCATCATTAAACAAGTTAAAATGGCTGCAGTGAAAAACATGTGCTTTCTTATTTTCCATGCATTCCCCAGGGGCAGTGCTGGGTCGTGATGGTGGGGCCATGAAGCAGATGCTGCTGCCGTTCTGGCTCGGCCTCGGGGGTACCCTGGGATCTGGAAGACAACCATTTCCCTGGATCCACGTTTCAGACCTGGCAGGAATCATTGTCCGCGCACTGGAGCCCCCTGCTGACACTCCACCCTCCTCATCACCACAAGTGTTCAACGGAGTCGCTCCGGCTCTCAACACCAACTATGAATTCACTAAAGAATTGGGTCGGGTCTTGAGGCGGCCCACCATCTTTCCTGTACCTGGCTTTGTCATGAACGCCCTGCTGGGTTCGGAGAGGGCCGTGATCCTTACTCAAGGTCAGAAAGTCATACCTAAGAGGACTTTGGAGTCTGGATTTCAGTACAACTACCCTGACTTGACCTCAGCTTTGAAGGAGATTGTTAATTAACAAGAGAGTACGGCGGTTCATTTTTACTGTAATACAAGAATAAACAAATATGAGCCTAAACGAGTCATTGAAAATGAATCCCAGGATCATGACTCAGTAAAAGACTGTTGTAAATTACTTATTCATCAGATCTGTGTACTGATGAACTGTTGTTTCTCATATTGCTAAAGAGCAGTTATGGGATCATGTTTGAAAAGCTGTTTTAAATAAAATGTCATGCTTTGCTTTAAAGCGTTTCTCCGCATTCGGGACAATAACAAGCGGCTTTAAGCCTTTGCTTACATTTAGAAAGCACTGGGACATGATTGTTGATACGGAAGTGTTTCTGTAAAATAAATCTGACAGAGTTGAGTCTTGATAACAGATGTGTCTAAACTTTCTCCTTTAGCAGCTTTTGCTCCTTTCGTTCAAACTCATGAACAGAGCTACAGAAGATAATCTTGGATGGTTGTACATCTAGCCGTTAATGCTGCAACTAGTGAACGTGTTTATTGTTATTAACTCCTAATTAATGCAAAAAAAAAGAAAAATTGTCAGTGACACAGTGGTTAGTAATATAAATAACCACATTACAGATGGTGAAGCACCGAAACAATTATTGGATCTACAGGTCATAGCCTGGAGTCTTTTTTATTTTTATTTTTTTTTAAATAGTCGTTTACATAAGTCTAGGTTAATCATGTTTACTGGATCTTTTTTGTGGCCTGCAGTAAATTAAAAATGTTGCTGAAATCTCACTTTGAGTCTCA